AATTGAAAGTCACGAATTTGATTGGCCGTGGCTTTTTAATAGAAGTACTGTAAAACGTATAAAAAAAAATTGTGTAACGATCGGGTGACTCAGATCATTATTTCCAAATTTGGGATGGTCTCACCTGTTGTGCATGACGTCATTTGTTTACTAGCACTAAAAATTAACCTAAACTAACCTATCACCTAACCCTAACACTAACCCTAACTACCCTAACTTAGGCCAAACACTTAATCATGTGATGTGATGATCCCAAAATAACCCGTTTAAAAAAAAATAAATGGAGGCATTTATTATAAAAAAAATTTCAGTAAGTAATTGCGATCTAAATCATGTCAGAAAGAAAAAAAAAGATATCATTTGGTTACTGGCCAACACTGATACGTTGTCAAGGTGAAACCAAAATTGAGGATAAGTAATAAGATTTTTGAATTTTTAAATAATCTACTATCTCTTAAACCGTTTGAAATTCAGGGCAGATCTGCCCTGAAATTTTATCTTCCCCAGTATCGCCACCAAAAATTCACGGACACGTGACTATATTTGCAGTACACAAAAAATCTTTAAATTCGTTTAGGTTAGGGTTAGGGTCTATGCTAAAGTTAGGGTTGGGTGAGTTTTAATAGTAAAATCGCTCAAGGAAAACCTTTTGTTATTTCACTAAAGGTGGTTTCCTATGAAGATTTTTGAGTTAAGCGATTTTTAACGATTTTTAACGAAACGAATGTTTGTTTTGAATTTTCCTAATCGTGTTATGTTACAACTGATCTTGAGATCTGATTGGCTTGCGGCACAAAAAAATCACGTGAGCGTGAAAATTTTGGTGGCGATCCTGGGGTAGTTTGAAATTTTCCGATAATTACGTATACACATAAAATGATACAATACTGTACAATACGTCATAAATGAGTATAAAAATGTTATTTAATTTATAAGATAATACAAGTGCTACATGAGTTTCCAATCAAAATTCAACGTTTCAGGGCAGATTTGCGGTTAACTATAGCTGCCGCAACAAATTTGGACGACAGCACCAGGGCGCAGAATCGATTTTCTATTCACGTAACTTCCGATATGTGATCTGCATCATGCATGCATATCGGCTCATGCCGAATTAATAAAGACGTCCAAACAATAGATGTTCAATTTTACACTTATTAAATATCAGATTTTGAAGGCTCATAAGATATTAAAACAATAACTAATATGATTATTATTATTATATTTATAAATGAATCGATTTACATAAGAGAAAGTATTTTTTTTTTAAAAAAACCCCATTTTATAGCTTTATAAATCAACTTTAAATAGCTTAATAGTTTATAATCATACTCACAAAATATTAACCAAATTAAAAATATTAAAATAAAAATTTTCAAATTATAAAAAATAGGTTTGCAACTTACTTTTAAGCGAATTGTTATAATACTTCAATTCTATATACATAACAAATAATAGATTTTCGAATTCCTTATTTTTATCCTTTTATCTAAGATTGTAAATAGCTTATTTAAATTAATTATATTTGCTGATTCTGATAGTAATCTTTAATAATTTAAATATTAGTGATTTGAGTAATTATTTGAATCAATATATATATATATATATCGAAATGAGTAGATAGTAATAGGAAAGTACCTTCTAATCGGTACAAATTGTACATTAGCTATATACAAAATATTCAACTAACTATTGAAAATTCCAATCTGTATAAAGAATAACTCTTTGGATTGAGTGCGTGCGCAGCTAATTAGAGGAAAGTCTTTCTATAATCTAATTGATGACGAACTTAGTGACATAATAAAGTATAAGCATAACAAATGTCATAATTAGTTGAAAGTTTAATTGATGTAAAGAGAAAATGAATAAATAATTGCTTTAACAAAACATCGATATAAAAAAAAAAAAATTAAATACTTGCCCTCAAACATAAGCCAAATATTTTATCTATATTTTATAATAAAGTTTCCTATTGCTTAATCAAATTATTTAGTAGCGCAATAACATTAGTAAAAACCAAACTGCTTGTAACTTGCTAAATACAATGTTCTGCACCTCTTGTTTATGTACACTATCCTGTGAAAGCTTTGTACTTGAGGGCAAACTTTACAAAACATGCTCTGAATGCTTGATTGCTAAGAGAACCATTAAAAGTGACAGCACCAATATTGAAAATACTCTTATAGAAAAAATTTCTTTTAAAGAAATTAGTGATTATATAACTGATAGCTTGGAGTATAATAATAAACTTTATATTAATTTTCGCATTATACTTGAAGAAGAAATACTTAATATTGCTGATATAAACATTAAACTAATAGCTAAATTGATTGTCGATGAAATCGAAGAAGCAGATGGTTATAATTGGACGTAAGTATAAGTTATTAAATAATAATAAATAAATAAATAAAACTTATATCTAATGTATTCATTTGTAGCGCTACAACGGCCCCAAATCTTTCAGCTTGTTACTATAGTGTTGGTAATGCTTACTTTGTATATTTACAAAGTAATGAGATTAAACATGAATATGTGGATTCGAATTGTAAAAGAATTAATCAGTTTGATTTTAAAGACAAGCTAGCTATTCATGTGGACTTATTAGTAGCGGAAGCAAAAATAAATTTACAACACAATCTTATGCATAATAAGCATATTGATATTGCAATGCTATTAGAGGTTAAACAAGAAATAAAGAAAAACTTAGAGATGACTCCAACATATTTGCGATTATATCTTCACAAAAAATTTGATCTATTAAATATTACCTCAAAACAAATATATTACTGGTGGTCACATTACACTCAGCAATTCTATAAATCTAATGAGGACCATGTTGTTTTTGCTTATATGTTTTTTGAACAACATCAGGAAAGTGGTTGTGACTTGTATTTTCAACTTGAAACAGAACATGTAACAGCCATTGGTTTCACTATACCTTTACTCGCTCTAACAAAAAATATATTGTGATGCCACATATAAAACATCTAAAGGAGTCCTCACAAAAACATAATCTTGAATGGTTAAACTTTGCAGATGAAATCGACTAGCAAACAACCTGGCTATATTTAAACAACAACCAAAAAGTCTCACATGGCTACAATAGCCAAAAACTAAACCATGCAAAAGCTTTCAAAATAAAGATACTTCTAAACTGCCTTCCCACATATAACTACTTCCACACAACCTCATATAAACACTTCCAGTTTTCTAACTGCTTCAACTGTAACCTCTCAGAGACATCTACACACTGGCTAACATGTCTACAGCCTAATCTACTTAGCCAAATTATAGTCTCTTCTATATCTGAAACAGTTCATAAATTACTCCCAACTCTACCAATCTCTATACGCAATACTCTTATTGATGCATTATACTCACACCCAGCACTTAACCCTTCCCTTCAACCCTCCAACAACTACAATTATATTTCTACCCTCCAGGGTCTTATTCCATCCCACCTCATATTAACAACTCGATCCGAGGACATATCACACAAAGAGGTGTCACAAATTGTCATACAATTCTTGCTACATATAACTGAAAGCATCTACGAACAAATCTGGAAACCATACTCAGCTGAATTAGCTCAATGGAAAAAAGAGCACAAGATCTCTACAAAACCTACAGGCAATCTACATCAATACAAAAGATGCTCAGCTCTAAAACAATATAAAAAAACCCATACATACAGTTGCCTTTGCGGTCAACCAGATCAAATACATAACCAAGATAATACATGCCCACCAGCTGGACTAGCAACAAAAAAGTTTAACAGCTGGAGCCCAATGTGGGTCTCCTCTGGTATACCCACAAACTTTATACTAACCTTAAAAGCTAGGTGAGTCTTGACCACTCTAGTAGGTTTAGATTGCAGATAAATTGTTAAATTAGTTTGAGCTCTTACTTTTGTATGTAATTTATATGTATTTGTATTTGTACAAGTTAAGTTGTATATAGTTTACTATGTAACTTCTTATATAAATTACCCAATAAAGATATGAGCAAGACCTTACCTTAAAAAAAAATAAAAAATAAAAAAAAAAATAAAATTAATGTTATAAATTCTTATATTAAAAATATATTGAAATTTAATAATAAAATAATATTGTATTTTAAATCAATATAAAATTAATATTAAAATTTAATATAAAATTAATGTTATGAAATTTTTATATTAAAAATATACTGAATTTTAATAATAAATTAATATTATATTT